CCCCCGCCCTGCTCTGGCCCGTGTGTCCCCTCATCCCAAAATGCTCCCGGCAGTCTCCTAATGAGGAGCCTTGACACTACTCCCCCGGGACGGGCTGCCGGCCCCTGGGTTCCTACCCGCTCCTTCCCGGGGGCCAAGGAGGCCGCTCGGCAGGGGTGGGGGAGCCGGGAGACCCCAGATGGGACTCGCCTCCCCAGACTGTCCCCCACCTCGGGGCGGGTGCTGCCAACTTCCCTCCTCCTCTCAACACACAAGTGCCTGATTTCTCCAGCTGGATTTTCTCACCTTTTGATTTTCAGCAAGTCTAAAGCCGCGGAGGAGAGTGCCCATATACAGCCACCCCCCCACACTCCCTCAAGCCGAGGGGACTCCTGAGGGACCCCACGGCTGCCCGGGCCTGGTGGGAGCTGCCCCACAGCGGGAAGGCAAAGACAGACCCCCGAGCACGGCCAGAGGGGACGGGGGCTTCCTCTGGAGCATCGCCGTGAGGGTACAAAGGAGGGGACACAGTCCGGGGCCCGGGAAGGCGGCTGCCCACATCTGCTCCCCCGCCGCAGGGCACCAGGGAGGTCCCGTAGGAGCCGCACACAGCGACAGCCGCGACGGGGACTGAGGAGGGAGTCGCTGCTGCCGACCGCTGTGTCCTTCCCTGCCCGGGGCTCTGCCGGGAGCCGGTGGCCTCGCGGGGAGATTTTCGTCTTTCGTTACCACAAACAGACAAACAAACAAAAAATCTGGCTGGCGTCAGGATCCTGGTGCGAAACTTCGTTTGGCTCCGTTTGGCTCGGAGAGCAGTTTCTGGGCCCGGGCATCCCCCTCCTCCCCGGCCGGGCTCGGCAAAGCGCCCCTGGTTTAACGTAAGGTGCAAACACCCAGATCAATGCCTCCGCTCCGAGCCTCTCGCAAAGTCTAACACGGACCCTCGCTGCTCACCAACCCGCGTGCCGGCGGACACACGCGTTTATATCCAAGGACACCGCGCTCTTCTATACACCAGCCTCCCTGCTCACTTTTGTGCACCCCGCTGCACATGCTGCCTTCCCCCCCACACACGCATCCTCGCTCTCAGCTTCTCACACCTACGCGTTCACACTCAGACCTCCACAGCCACAGACATACAAACGCTCTTAAACACACGCGCATTCCCGCACCCCCAAACACACACAGCCCACAGCCTCGCGGGACCCGCCATCCCCGCTGCACCCATGGGCACAGCCC